CTTACGATGGCGAATAACTGTTGATATTATAGCCTCTTTTAGAAAGTGAACGATGACATCATCGCTTTCGATGTCATGTAGATATTTGAAAAATCAATTCAGAAGTATACCTAAACATTTACCAGAGTAATAGGCACTGCGAGCACTACCCAGCATGCTATAAACAGAAGAGAACGTTAAAAAAAATGGGCACGTAAAGACAGAAGAGAACATTAAAAAATTAGATACGTAAAAAGACACCCAGGTGAACATACCACTAAAAACCGCAAATACCTTGACTTTAGGGAAGTCACTATCAATATGAGCAAGACAGATTGTTACTACTGAAAATAAAAGAAGTACTCCACAACCTACAGTGGCCGAACTTCTTTTCAAAATTGTACATGGGAGGGACATTTCATCACTTCCTGGTCCATGAAGATAGTAGACATTCTATGAATTCTACTAATTTGAGCACTGCTGAAAGCTTGGGTGTCATTCGATTCAATATTACAGTTTGCAAGCTTGTAGTTAGGATACTTCTTCACATGTGGCTGATTTACTGGTATCAAATCACTAAATGCTTCAAAATCTTTAGTCTTGCAACACTAATGTATACTGTTTTCAGCCATTTCCGACGCACTATTCCACTCATTGTCAAGGACGACGCGACTGACGCACTAGATCAATTCTACACTGAAATCGGGAAGGATAAACTTGCACAGCTACGCGAACTCACATGTGACCGTGACAGGGAATTCATTCTCAAGAATTCAACAAGGTGAACACGCAGGAACATGTAAAAATACTCTGCGTGCCCACTGCAACGCCTGCATTACTTGGCTTAGTCGAGCGTGCAAATGGTGTCATACATGACATCATGCTCAGCGATATGAAGCAAGCCAATATGCCCGACAACAAGTGGGCCGAAGCTATCCAATACGCAGCTCTCAAGAACTCTGTCCACTGAGGATTGGCATAGACGACTCGGCCATAGCGACAAAATTACCGAGACACTACGATCTAATAACATATCCTCTACTACAATCACCAAACCTTCCCATAACGAATGGATGCTACTCCCGGATCTCTTTCAACGACATGTTACAGACGTCTTTGGACCAGTAGATATCGATTTATTCGCCAACGCAGAAAACGCGCAAGTACCCCTGTACTGTGGACTCACCGATGACGCACCACTCCAAGACGCATTTATGCAATCCTGGGATCAACCCGATAAACACCTTTACGGGAACATACCTTTTCGCCGCAAAACTTGGCGTGAGACTCTAGCCAAGCTCGATACTGAAAATGGCCTGGTCACGACGGTGTTTCCACTACAACCCAACACCAAGAACTACAACCAAACACTACGCCAGTTACACTCTCATGCGGAGGTCATACGTACAATACTCGAGACTTTCCTAGAACACGGGCGCAATGTCGTTGGCCTACCTAAGTGGCACTACATCTGCATAGCACGACTTGGCAACATCAAACATGCCGCTTTTCCCACCGCAGAACTGCTCACAGCTGAGGCAGATACCATCGCTTACCTGACAGACCGTACCTCTTGTACACCATGTGTACAAGGGAAAATGCGCCGCAGACCAGTCCGACATACCAGCAAAGAGTCGATACCTTCCTCCTATTGGAACCGTTTTCCATGTTGACTTACATACGGGCTTGCCCACAACCCCTAGTGGTTATACCTGTGATATCAAGTCCGTAGATGCCATCAGTGGCTACACATTAGTCTATAACCTCCAGCACAAGGACGACGCGACTGGCGCACTAGATCAATTCTACACTGAAATCGGGAAGGATAAACTTGCACAGCTACGCGAGCTCAAATGTGACCGTGGCGGGGAATTCATCTCTCAAGAATTCAACAAGGTTAACACGCAGGAACATGTAAAAACACTCTACGTGCCCACTGCAACGCCCGCATTACATAGCTTAGTCGAGCGTGCAAATGGTGTCATACATGACATTATACTCAGCGATATGAAGCAAGCCAAGATGCCCGACAACATGTGGGCCGAAGATATCCAATACGCAGCTCTCAAGAACTCTGTCCACGACAACAAACACAACTGAGACCAAAAATCCTCTTGGGAAGTGTTCTGGGGGTTTAAACCAACTGACCGCATTAAGAACATGCGCCTCTTTGAATGTCGAGTAGCATTTATCAATCAGTCACGCCATGGCAAACTAGACGACCGCGCCAATATTGGGGTATATATAGGCCACGATGAGTGCCGAATACTTAACCTCAAGACAGGTAAAATATGTCACTCCAGCGACGTTCAATTCAATTACCGTGTCTTTCCGACTTGGACTATGGTTGGGAACACACCCGTCCCACACTTTGCCACAGACACAAAGGACGTACCCATAATCCGTGAGCTGACTATGGCGTTACACCTCGATCAAGACACTACATGCGAGACACAAACACCTACCTATTCCTCGGTTGGCACACAGACCGACGATGTCACCATCTCAGCTGATACACACCAGGATCCTCTACCTGCTCAAACCGCCCTCCTGCCCACACCAACCACATACGCTACGCCACGCACGCTCCTACCTACTCCCGACACTGCATCGACTGCACAAGCACCATCGACCGCGACACCAGACAAGGAGGACACTATTAACAACACTTTACAAACCCACATTGCCCGACATCCCGAATCACGCGCCCTTCGCGGTCTCTTACTTGTACACGCTCAATGGACCGCATCTACCTAACAAAATGCGAATGACGAGACAATGCGCCCGCCAGATGCAAACCTATATCACTGCAAACAAACACGGTATCGAGGATCAACCTGCTGACGATACCTCTATTCCAGGGGAGTGTTCAACAAATACCACCATGGACACGACATCTTCAGCTCCATCACCACACAATACGGGACACACTACGACACAGCTTCCAGGAGAGCACACAACAACCCCTCCTAGTACCGCATTTCAAACCGTTACCTTTTAAGCCCTTTGAAAAATAGAGTATATCCCTTCTGACTCCATCTATGATTTGGGACAGCGATTGTGTCGTTCATGATTTGAAACGGTACTCCATCTACTGAATACGCCAATATTGCGGAGCATGCAATAACATCTTTGAGTTATTCCTATTTCTTAATGAGTTCTGGTGTCCGAAGAATCGCTATATTCTGATTCATTTTTCCTTTCATGAGATTGCGGAAGTGTTTCGTTATATGCGCGAACTAGGGAATATAGTCCTGCATGTAGTTTACTAATCAGATTGCTCTATGTGGTCACGTTTGGTTATTGGCAGTAGCCTGTCAATCATGTGTTTTGTTTCTCGGGGTCTGTTTTGAGCCCTTTTGTTGTAACTTTGACGCCTAATATATCGACTTCTTGACTGCAAACGCACATTTGTTGTGATTTAGCCTGAAGTTGGCTGCGTTAAGTCTTTTGATGACTTCTCGTACTGTTTGTCTGTGTTTCTCTACTGTCGTCCACGTATACTTGTACCCCTTTAATGTCGATGAGGTGGTTGGCCATCACTCGTTGAAATTGTGCTGTTAGCGAGTGGAGTCCAAACGGAGTTGACTTGAATGAGTATTGTGCCCCTCTCCAAGAAAAAGTTAAAAGTGTTGGCTATTTTTGTGTACACACCGTAATGGTAGATTCGCCTGTGTGGGTGCTATTCGCTTGTATATGTGCCCGTCTTTGACCCATTTTTGAACATTGTCATCTGTTTGTGGCATGTATTTATGTGGAACAAAGTTCACTTTAGCGTGACGAATGTTCTTTGCTTTGACCTCTTGACTTGGTATCTCCACTACCGATCCTGGCAAATTGCAGTGTACATCCGGCGGGATCTGGCCGTTCTGGTCTAATAAGTCTGAGAGTGATTCTCTGAATCCTTCTCGCTCATTTTCAGGGTCATCTTCATGTGGTGTGAGAAGTGATTCCCATTTAGCATATGTCGGTTTGAGTGGATCAATTATCCCAGCTAGATATATGCCCAAGTATGGTAAAATATCCATACCTAAAGGATTGGTGATTTCTTGTCTGGGAAGTCGAGTACCCCAAAGCAGTTTGATGTTTATCTACCGCCATAGGTAATATCACACACGTCTGTGGAACCTGTGCGTTGTACTCGTACATCTGATTGTGCGATCTGTATGTAGACCCAGGTTGTGATTTTACAGACAAGTATAGTTCAGTTACTAAACTGCGATCCATACATGAGCGTTGTGCTCCTGAATCTACTAGTGCGTTGTATGTGGTGCCATTCATTTGTATGTCTATGTGCAATCTTTGGTCTCGTGGATTAGAAAGTAAAGAATAAGGTGGGTAAGCAATGTCATTTGCATTTCTTAGCAACGTTTTTTCATCAGTGTGTGCATTCACAATGCCTACCATGTTTACCATATTAACTTCCGCCCACCAAGCTTTATAGATTCTTCATCCATCGCTTGCACCTTGTTGCCATTTGTAATGGTCAACTGGTCTACATGTATCGGTTGGGATTGCTGCGCTGCCCTAGCTGCTGCTTCTGACGTTTGCTTTCTTTCTTCTTTGGGCACTTGTTAAACGCATGTGACGAAGGGTCTGAACGGCAGTATGGACAAGGTCGTGGTCCTCGCGGTGTTGGGGTGTAAGTACCCTGTCCCATAGGACGACCTCGGCCTTGTCCTACTTGTGGTCCCCGCCCCCCCCCCCTCTGGGTTGACCCATCTCTCTGGGTGGACCCCCTGGGGGTGTGTCAAGTCTTGGACGATTGACTCTCTGGTCTGGGATGGGTGCGGTTCTCGCTCGTTTGCGATACCGATCGTGATTAGCATGTGTTATGGTTGCTTGTCTGATACAAAGTCTTCAGTGAGTTCATGGAATATCTTCTCTGATATGTCAGACAAGGGTCCGCTACTACCATCAGGCTTCGTTTGCGCCTTCAATATTCTATCAGTCTCGGCCTGTTGTCCATACATGACTAGTGACTGATAACGTGACACTTTGAGAAATTGCATGTTAATGGACTATCTCCCCGTGCCCTTGCATCGTTTCTCCAGCTCAAGCATTGTGCGACGCAATCGTGCTGCTCGTCGAGCATTATAGAAGTCGTTGAGCCATTTCTCCAGCAGATAGTTTACTGGAGTGTGACGCAAATTGTCAATGATTAATATATTGTAGACTTCCCCATCAGTGCAGTCTTTCCAAAGCTGTTGGGAACTACGTGTATTATTGAGTGCTGTGCGCGGTACCTCTGTTGTGGCTGTTTGTCGGGGCAGTTCTTGTACGAGTGATAGATACTGTACCAATGGCATGTTTGTGTTCGCAAACAAGTCTTTTACTACAGATACAAACTCAAGTGTATCACGACAATCAGCCATACTCACATACTTGTGTGTTGGCCACTTAGAGAACTCACTCATCTTGAGTAGTTTGTTCATCTTTGTTTCTGAGATTTTATCCCCTACATGGGATCTAATTAGTGTTAACTCGCTCATTAAGCCATTGATTGCAATACACTCATCGTGATCACTTTTATCACAGCCTTTCACAGCTTTATTGTATAGTTTTGATAACCGCTGATCGACTTCTGGTATCAATCTATTAGGTTGTTGGGTGTGAACTGCATTACGGAGCTTATGGAGTGCTTGTATGTCAACTTCTGTGCATACAGCTTATATACCAGTATGCATATACTATAGGCATTGCCATCATAAATGGTCGTGTCAATGACCACTTTGAACTTACTCATTGCTGGATCTAATGGTGCTCTTGCTGGTGTGGGCTCATCATCCATGTACATCGCTCCTTCCCCATTGTTTGGAGTAAAAGTGCGTGAGGAAGCTTGTGACACTGGCATTGTATGCGATTGTTCTGGTCGAGTTCAAGCTGTACAGCTGGTGCTTCCTCGTGTGTATGTGCTAGTAGAGCTCACTTCTGTGCGTATACTCCTTTGTGCTGCTTTTGTTCTTTGCTACGGAGCAGAAGTCATTGACTGATCTGTGTGTGCCGTGTCCGTTGTGGTGTTAGAACTCATGATTTATTCTGAATACTGGATGAAATGGACTGTGAACCGACTTAGCCTTCATCAGACTGGTACATCTGGTTGGCTGATCGGAGGATCAACTAGGCTACGTGAATAGTCCCTAGAAACCTATATTCGGCTGAGCCATCTCGCTACTGAGGTATTCGGATATGAATAAAGTTGAAAAGTAAATATAGTTCTATTAATAGAACTAGACCAACTCTTATGTTTGGTATTTTACTGGGGCTTTTTAATGGTCACGTCCAAATATCTGATATGTAAAAGAGAAAAGGTATTAATTAATAAAACCATTAAAACCCATTTTATGAAACTTAAGTTCCTCGTGATATTAAGAGTACATTTAGGAAACTTAAGTTCCGCGTACTATTAAGAGTACATTTAGGAAACTTAAGTTCCTCATACTATTAAGAGTACATTTAGGAAACTTAAGTTCCTCGGGGTACCTTCCTCGCAGCCATTAACTGCAGCCTCCTGACAGCGCACCCCAAAAAAGCCGATGCAGATATCACCTCCCCCACCGACTTCCGCCCCATCACGCTTACGCAAATAGTCAGACGCATCTTTGAAAAGTGCTTTCTTAATCTGATTACGAGCCACCCCGGCTCTGCTACCCATGCTACCCAAGCTGGCTTCAAATCACGGTACTCCTGTCATACCCAAGCACTTGCCGCCATGGAATCTGAGACACAGTCAAAAGAGGAGTGGAACGACGTCCGTCTGGACATAACCAAGGCATACGACAAGGTCACTCTCCCACGCTTTGGGAGGGTCCCTACCCGAGTGACATACCGCGGCACGCTCTTGTCTCTATTCCATAGAACGAATGGCATCTTACAAGGCTCAATCGTCGGCCCCCAGCTCTTTATTATCTACATGTATTCCATAGCTGTCACGCTAGCACAATTTCGGCCCAAGCTCCTCCGCTCTTATTTATTTGTCGATGACACACGGATCCAAGCCCCTCGATCGATTTTGCTCCAGCCCTTCTTAGATGACATTGATGCGCGGGGACGCAAATCTGGCTTCGAACAGGGTGTCATTAAACCCCGAGTACGATCTACCGACCTGCGACACGCGGCGCCAACCCTTTGTATAAATGGTGAGCTTATCACGCCGACGTTTGCAGACGCACCTTGGAACACACGTTACCTCCTCCTGAAACTGGCGCCCACACATGCCGAACCGAAACACTCCAAATACCTGGGGTTCCCACTCTCTCACGGAGTACCAGGAATCAACCTCGTTAAACATATGGAATCCCTGGTTGCAGCATTGTCACTGGGTATCGCCTCTTTCCGCGCTTATGGCTTCCATGGCTACAGCTGGCGACACCCCCGCAACCGACTGGTGATGTTCAAAACATTCCTCCTATCCACGGCTACATATGGGCTGAACCTTATTGCCTGGGCTCCGCCTATATGGAAGAATGCGTTGGACCCCCTATTCGAGCGCTTTAACTCAGCACTCATCCAAGCAGCAGCCATCATCACGGGCACTAAATACCCTCGGTCTCCCAAACATCAAACAAACTTACTTCACTTTTGCGGCCTGCTCCCCGCGCGACCATTCGCGGACTACCTCGGAGGTTGCCTGGGAATACAACTCGACTCAATGGCAAGCACAAATCCACTTACCCCTCTGACGCAACCCGCCTGGGCCCACGATAAACCATCACTGCGCTTCCCGTACAGTATCTATGCTCACCTAAAAACTGTACACAAAACCACGGGCGGGTGTACACCCGACCATGTAGCCCTCCGCCAACGCTGTGACGACATCAGGAAGAACTCAATAAAACGTTGGTCCAACAAGAAGATCGCGGCAATGGCCCGGCGCCAATACTACTACCAACTGGTTATGGGTAAACCGCCAACCTCAAACCGAGACACAGCCAGACACGACAGCTTCAATCGATGCTTCGAGTCTACACCAATCCGGCTCTGTGCTATGATTGTAACGAATACGTTCATGTTCACATTGCTCGACTACCGCACCGACGGCTGTCTCTGCCCTATCTGCCCACGAGTTCACTACCAGCCTCTTTACCTGCATCCAATAACTGATTCGACGCATCCTGGTAGGCCCGAAACTGCCGCCCATTGGCCCTGACCTCCTTCAGCAATTACAGGAGTACCACGACTTCCACGGTATCTGGACCCTCCACGAACACCTTGGATCTTTTCTCCAGAATGTTGAAGAACCATCGTACCCTCACCCGTTCCTGACACATCAACGGGTGTTCCCTATACCCTGGCTAATCACGCTGTTGAAGTACTACTTCCAAATATCGGTTCAAACCAAATCATCGCGCTTGTTGGTTCCGCCTATGATACTTCCGATTCAGGCCAGCCAACACATACCGAATTCATCCGTGGTCTGGTGCGGCATTGGCTTACCCCCATCCTCGCTCCTCGACCGAATTATGACGGATAACCTGGTCGTACTCGGCATTTCGTACTCTGCACTAACCCATTCCACGGCACTACCCGGCGTACACCGATCCGTACCACAGAGGTGGGTACGCTACTTAGTAGGTCAGCAAGCGAATACATGGCACATTCGGTTGTATCAGTGATTTATCAGCACCGGCCCAAATTAATTCAGCGCATATCCTCCATCGTCGACTCACTTGGCTCAAGCTTCAAACGGGAATTTACTGACTACTTCTTCCCATCGATCTTTCCCGAACCACTATAACGGCTATGAGAGCCATACCATATGATCATACATTGTAACATACAAACTTTGTAACTTATCGTTTTTGAAATAAATAATACTATCCTTAATCCTAATTAGTATTTAGCTAGAAATCGTGCGTTCACGCTTAAATAAACCTGCACTATCTAAACTACTATATACCTCAATAATTCTAAAGTTATCAAGAGACAGTTGCTTCAAAAAGGAAAATTGTGAAGACACTATATAGTTTACAACGCAATGCAGTTACCTATTCTTAGCAATTTCTATGCCATTTTGTTAATATCCAGTACTTGTAAAATATCTATTAGATTCAACTGGCGCAACAGGGAAGAAAAAAGATAGACTAATAAAGTCTGTAATCTTAGATAGACTCAAAACACAATGTAACGGTGAACTTAGGTTTATTTCCTCGGTTGTTGAATAAACGTCTACCTTAGCAGAATGAACTTTTTGAATGAACAAAGCCACGTATTTATACTATCTCCAAAAGATTTCCTTGAGAATCCTGCCGCCAATCAAATCGTGTATCTTTTCAATTTCGAGCCTACAAGTCCATTCAACATATATTGTCATCTGCCAACCTCCAGCTCATATTACCTCGCACTTCGGTTCTCAAAGCACCAATCGTACACCAACCTCCTCTTCTTTCGAGTCTGCGCGGCCGTTTGCCAACAAACCGCACAATACAACTTAGAACTTTTCAAACTTATTAGTTTTCACACTTATAAGTTATCGCCCACACTTAGAAGTTCTTGCACTCTTATTAACGCTCAGGAACATCACCGAACAGTTCGGTGCTTACAACACCAACATTGTTTTAAATCGGAGGTAAACTTGGTTGACATTACAGGTCTAATATCATATACTTTTTTTTAAACAACTATTCTTTTATTCACATTTCTAATTTTATATATAAGTAAAAGTGTGTATGTATTTACAGAATTATGGCCCTGTTCAGTAACTAAGGTAATTATGAGAAGCATAATAAGTTAGTAACTATGCAAGACAAAAACCGCATCTCGCGGCCTAGAAACTTAGTAAGAAGGTCAACAACGTTGTCATTAGTACTGACGCACGTAAGAATAAGCATGCCTTGCTGAATATAATCACGAACGTAATGGTAACGAATAGCGTTGTGTTTGAGTCCTTTGGGGGTACCAGTACCCAAAGAAATTTTGATGGCTGATTGATTGTCAGCCTGGAGGATAGTGAGGCGTTGCGGGGAGAAGGCGCACAGCATGGCTGTGAGTATGTTATTCAACCATGCAATACTGCGAGCCGATTCAGAGGAGGCATCGTATTTGGCTTCGGCAGAGCTGAGAGCAGTGGTCTTCCGTTTCTAGAATTTCCAGAAGACAGGAGTACCATTGAAGCATAGTACTGTGCCCGATTGGGAACGTCGATTGTCGTGGCAGCCGTCCCAGTCACTATCTGTGTTACGGCGAGGAGTTCATCAGAGGTAGCGGCCGTGTTGTAAACCAATGCACAATGTTTTGTCACAGAAAGGTATTGAAGAATACGGGTAAGGGCCCTATAATGAAGCTCGTTAGGATCTGAAGCAAAAGCAGCGAGTTAATTCAGGCACGCAGCAATATCAACTCGGGTCAATTAGCGGCAATCTCAAGTGCACCCAGGAGACGACGGTAGTTCTTGCCATGATAAGCTGGAGCTTCAAGGGAGGCAGGGTGAATACTATTACCCGGGGTATGGTTCGGGATGGTATCAATTTTAGTAAACGTGGCAAGCATGTGTTCAACATAAGCCGTCTGGTCGAGTGTAACAGAGGAAGGAGATTGACGAATACTGAAACCTACAAGGTGGCGAACCAAACCCAGATTCTTGCGAGAGTAGTGAAGACTGAGGGCACGGTAAAGCCAGAGCTCAAGTCTAGACATGCAAGTTACGGCAGGTACAATTTCATCAACATAGATGAGAAGTAAGATTCTGAAGCCATCGTGGAACCAGAGAGATTTGTCGGCGTCTGTACGCTGGAAGCAAAAATGTGATAGTTTACCAACGATGTCTATATTTCATAGACGTTCAGCTTGACGGAGGCCATAAAGGCCCCGTTTGAGCTTTAGTACATGACCTGCGGGGTAATATTTGAGTTTTACGCTGCCAGCGGGCGGGTGCATGAAGACTGGGACATTTAATTAAGAATAGAGGTAAGCAGTATTGACGACAAAGTGAAAGACGTCGAGTTTGAGACTGGCAGCCCGGGCATTGCTTGATACTGCACGGTAAGGATAGTGATGTCATCCGTGGTAGCGACACGAACAAATAGATATGGTGAGTTTAGGAAGTCATAGTCTGATCGGTGTAGTCGCCGAACGTCTCAGGAGTGTTAACTCCGTCGTCAAATAAAGAGTCGGACGGATCCGAAAGTTGCTGCGGCGAGTTGTTTCCGTCATCAGGAACGGTGACGTAGGAATATCAGCTATTAAGCCGGAAAAATCTGATGGGTTATCGGTGTCCGAGTAGTTTAACTAAGAACCATCGAAAGCGGTGGTGGAAATGTTATTGACAGGAATATGAGATGGAGGGAAAGGAACGTTGTCCAGCGAGGGTAGGCTGAAGTCGCTGACGGCGGCAATCCTCGAGATAGCCTTGGAAGTTCGTAATTATACTCTTGGGGGTGGGGTATTGAAATGAGGAACTACTGGTGGCAGGATAAATGCAGGCTGCAGCGGATATTCACGGGGAGTCCTAGGTGTGACGGGTTGGAGGCTCCTTGTGGCCATTTAGGTGTGTCTCATATGTAGGAAGGAATAACAGTGGTACTTGGTGCGCGTGCGGCACCTGACATGGAAGCAGCAGACGGCGGCAGCGAGGGTACAGGCTGAATAGGAGCCGTTGTCATATCTATGGCGACAGGTGGAGAAGCAGCAGGGACATAAGGGACAACAGCCGTGATTGGAGAGTCGAGTTCATACCAATTGGAAGGAATAACTTAACCTGAGAGAGTACTAGAACGCGTGCACCGTTTCCAGATGCATTCTACCGCGGGAGCTCATCGGGCAGAAGCTGAACGTCGCGTGAACACAATTAACGTTGTGTAGCAAAGTTTTGTATTCTCCAGGTGTCGGGTGGGCAGTTGGGTTCTCGTCCAAGGAAAACACCGAAACCTGCGGGAAAGCTAAGCTATACTTATGTTTGCTTTTAATTTTAGAACCAGACAATTTGAACAGGCCAATCAGAAGGCCATAATGTGCGTTGGGGATACGGAGGACAGTGGTGCCGTGCCACTTGTCTGAAGGCGAGTGTAACGGCGAGACGGCGAGCGGCAGCAAGTTAATACATTAGCTAATATAAATAAAGTTCCTTCTGAAGAAAAGTTAAAAAAAAGAAAAAGACGTATTGGATTTTGGAGATTGGCGGGAAGACCAAAACCTGTAAGTAGTAGTTCAGAGAACATAAAATTTAGTTTATAATATCCTACATCTACTATCGTCTCAAATAGGTCCAAGTAAATGAGTCATAATAAATACTCAGGCTATTGAGAAGGTCCAAGTATCTTTCATCATCGTTACTTTGCTGAATGTCTCACAAAGTTCATCGAAAAGTGAACGGATGAGAAGACTTCTGGTGGTGCGATAATATCCCACAGCTTTCTTAGCGTTGCGGAATATAATGGTGCTTTCAGCAATACGCGCGGGTTCGTAAGGGATTTTAAGGAGGTTTAAGTAATTTACAGTTGTTTAAAATGTGATTGAGATCCCACTCGTAGTCGCTAAGAGCCGCGAGATACAAGTTGGCATCCCAGCGATTATAGTTGTCACCAGATAGGGTTTGGTGTACCCACTTGATTCGTGTAGAGCCAGAACAAGAAACTAGATGTAGAGGTGCGCAAAGAGCGGTCGCACAGGATATTGTAAGAGTTGAAGGAGTGTTACCAAAACACGGACAAAAAGCCAATATACACAACTCCTCAAACAAAGACACTCATATACTATGAACAGCAAGAGACGGCGATGGTTACTTTTTAAACATGAGATCTCATGCGTTCTACTCCTTTGCTTAGGCATCAGTGTAGTCAATACAGCGTAGCGCAGATTTTTGTCTCCTAGATACTACATTATGATGACGTTTGATTCGCACTAATTTCCCTATTCCATTATTTAGTCCGGTCCTTTGTGTCTATAGGTTATTTGTCTAGCTAGATATAATCTATCAATTACTGTTATTTAGTACAACACCTTCATTGTAATTGGCACTCTGCTTTAATTTCATCATACAAATTGAAGAAAGTTTGATCATTCTTTTTGCAGTCCTTCTGCACTACCTATAAGCTTAAAGAGAACTCGAGTAGCTTCTGCTGCTTTCTTCATAGCGGCACTTGTAGCATCGGAGTTTTTACTCGTTTGCGCTGCCACATTGCGCGCTACTTCACCTGTAAGACTATATTGTCGTCGTGCTAGTGTCATTGATTTCTCGATGACCATTTTGCTCTAGAAACTCTGTTGTAAGGTTATCCGTCGGCACTTTTGATTTGCAGAGTAAACTAGCGCACAGAAGTATTTCCCTCTCCACCATCTCTTTGTTTGCTGCTACTACAGAATCATACTCATAACGAGCATTGTCATTGGCATCTGCCCATAATGCCTGTTGAGTCATACTCCACACTGTAGCAGCAACATGTACACCTTTCCCGCCACAATATAGACCACATTCAAAATACCCACTGCATACTATAAATTTGTCGAGGTCTGGTTAGTACCAAAGTTTAGCGTAGGCCTGCATAGTTGAAGTAGCCGCGGATCTAGACACTCTTGCATGTATAAGCACACTTGACTTAGATAAAAACGCAGCAACATTTATGTTTATCCATTTATACTTACACACATGTTGGTACTGCAACTTGTGTTCGACCTTTTTCATACGCTGCAGTTCCAAAGAATTTCCTAGTTTCATCAGTTGGAGCTATAAGGATAATATTTTTTTCTCAAAGGAGTTAAGTTACAATGTTTGTACTTATAGTATGGCTCTCATAGCCGTTGTAGTGGTTCGGGGAAGATCGATGGGAAGAAGCGGTCAGTAAATTCCCTGTTGAAGCTTGGACCAAGTGAGTCGACGATGGAGGATATGCACTGGGTCAATTCAGGCCGGTGCTGACAAAAAACTGACACAATCGAGTGTGCCACGTATTCGCTTTCTGACCTACTAAATTGCGTACCCACCTCTGTGGTTCGGATCGGGTCTTTATCGTGTAGTGATGTGGAATGGGTTAGTGCAGAGTAAGAAATGCCAAGTAGGACCAGGTTATCCGTCATAATTCGGTTGAGGAGCGTGGTTGGGGGTAGCTATAGGGAATAGATGCTACTCACGGCGAGGCATTGATGCAGTATATGTTGCTCGATAGGCTTGTCTCGGGAGTTGGTCGCAGTCTATACGCTGGCAGTTGTTTGCACTGACTACTAAAAGGGTTGTATGTGCCAGTGTAATGCTCATGATATTCCCATCGGGTATCTTCTCACCTATGAAATATTTTTTTGCTGTCTGATATTGTGTCATCTCCGTGAAGTGTTGCAAACTTAGTTTGTGTAATGTCGGATAGCCAGGCATTACGGAAAGAGCTGATTCCTGCTTTGAAAGCACTTTCACACTTGTTATACATAATGTCACCCAATGCACAATAATTCAATGTAAACAAAATGCCGTCGCCCGATTCGTCTCTATATGCTAGCATAATGTCTGCAGTCACCTCTCCCTCTTAAGCCCACACATGAGACAATCCTGCTTTCGAAAACGCTTCATATAGTCACAACTTTTAATACCTCCGAATACTCTTTACACTTTAAAACGGTGAACATGTACCCGTATATGAATGTGGTGTGTTTTCCGTGAGCGCATTCTGTAACAAAATAGAAACATACATCTACTCCGCTATCGTAGACGATCATATCCGAGTCGTGTGTTGAAATGAAGGACTTTACATGTGACGTTTTAATTCGATTATCGGTCTCATAGGATGCAATCCATCGTTGATAACGCACGGTGACGAAAGATCCAATCGCAACTATATTTATATTCCATGTTCTGTTTCCTGCGAATGCCGCTCATGTTCTGCCTTCTTCTATTGGGAAATCTGTCCATCAAATACAAAAACAGGTGTGCATCCGAAAATCGTTGTTCATCGAAAATCGTTGTTCATTATTCACCCGACCATGTAGCCCTCCGCCAACGCTGTGACGACATTAGGAAGAACTCAACAAAACGTTGGTCCAACAAGAAGATCGCGGCAATGGCCCGGCGCCAATACTACTACCAACTGGTTATGGGTAAACCGCCAACCTCAAACCGAGACACAGCCAGACACGACAGCTTCAATCGCTGCTTCGAGTCTGCACCAATCTGGCTCTGTGCTATGATTGTAACGAATACGTACATGTTCACATTGCTCGACTACCGCACTGACGACTGTCTCTGTCCTGTCTGCCCCGGTAGCCACGAGTTCACTACCAGCCTCTTTACCTGCATCCAATAACTGATTCGACGCATCCTGGTAGGCCCGAAACTGCCGCCCATTGGCCATGACCTCCTTCAGCAATTACAGGAGTACCACGACTTCCACGGTATCTGGACCCTCCACGAACACCTTGGATCTTTTCTCCAGTATGTTGAAGAACCATCGTACCCTCACCCGTTCCTGACACATCAACGGGTGTTCCCTATACCTTGGCTAATCACGCTGTTGAAGTACTACTTCCAAATATCGGTTCAAACCAAATCATCGCGCTTGTTGGTTCCGCCTATGATACTTCCGATTCAGGCCAGCCAACACATACCGAATTCATCCGTGGTCTGGTGCGGCATTGGCTTACCCCCATCCTCGCTTCTCGACCGGATTATGACGAATAACCTGGTCCTTCTCGGTATTTCGTACTCTGCACTAAACCATTCCGCGGCACTACACGGCGCAGATCCGTTCCGTACCACAGAGATGGGTACTCTACTTAGTAGGTCAGCAAGCGAATATATGGAACATTCGATTGTAACAGTGTTTTGTTAACACCGGCCCGAATTGACTCAGCACATATCTTCCATTGTCGACTAACTTGGCCCAAGCTTCAAACGGGAATTTACTGACCACTTCTTCCCATCAATCTTTCCTGAACCACTACATCGACTATGAGAGCCATACCGTATGTTTGTACATTGTATCATACATACTTGCCATTTTTGAAATAAATAATATAATCCCTATAGGAAGTAAATATGTTGAATGTTACATCTATCGAAGCATCGCTGACACCACCACCGTTATGCGCGTGAATTCTACGAGCTATTTCTGCCGCATTCCTATAGTTTTTACAAGCACGAGCTAATGCAATGCGAATTAGAAATGACGCATCGGTAACACAATGTTTTTCTTCCGTTCTTCCGTTTGAGGTCTAAGAATCGAAATGTGCTCGCCTTTTTGGCACAGCTTGATCAGAGACACATCACCTACAAGTACCTCATGTCTTAGTCTATCAACACCCATTTTTAATATACGCGCTCAATAACATCTAAACTGAATGCATGTAAAAATAAAAGGGCCCAATATATTTTGGCAGTTCGGTATTTTTTTAAAGGTCTATTGGGCTAGAGTGCGAGACTCGCGGGGAGAGAGGGTAGAAAACTAATATATAAAGGAATATGCAGACACTATGTACATATGTGTAAATAAATACAGAGCGGAGAGTATAATAGAGAGACGCAGTAACTCTGAGTCCTGAGACGAGTTTGAATCTGCCACACTTCAGATGTCCTTCTCCAGAGTCCAGACTCACAACTCACCAGAATGGTTTGATGCGACGCAAGAAAAGAAAAAGAAAAGAAAGAAGAAGAAAATATGTAAATATTTTTGTGTGTGTACAGTAATACAATTTAGAATGCTCTGATTTGTCCTGCTGTAAAACAAAACAGTTAAAAAACGAACAAACCGATTGGTATATTTATGGACGTATTAAAAATTTAAAATACTGCGGTAATAAAAAATAAAACAAACAAGAAAAAACAATTTTTTCAGATCGGACTTTGGAGCTGTATTTAAGCTGTTGCTTCCCTGATTCCCGATTTTATATTTATCCGAATCCGATTTTTAGTTTATTTAAAAAACGACCTTTTTGACTTTATTTTGGGTTTTTTTTAATAGTACATTTTTTTTAATGATAAAAGAAGAAAAACAACTAAATAAATATCAGAATAAGGAGTGTTTCATTGTAACAAATATTAAAATAGTACGTATGTTAAAAAATGTTTTATTTTGGCCGAGAAGTTGAAAAATATGCAAATTGGGGTTTATAATTTTTTTTTGAACAAAATCTAGATTCCAAATATTGTCCAATTTCCAGTGATCCACACCAAAAAGTTAAAGCTTTAAGAAAACAGAATATATATATCTCTCTACTCTGTAGAGAAAGCCTCTGCTGAGTCCTGAACTCCTGACTACTCTCTCTCGTTGTAGAGAGTAGAATAGCAGAGAAATCAGAGAAGCACACATAGCTTTCTCAGACTGACTACATACCCTGACTCACCTGAGTCCCTGACTAGTGACTGGAGACTCTCTCTACTCTAGAGTAGAGTACTCCAGAGTAGAAGAGAGAGCCCACAAGGCCCAGGCCCGACTGGGCGACAGGGCCCATATCCCATTAGCTGCTGAGAAAATCAATTTTGGGTCATTCAACAAAGAAAAGGTTGTGACGTTGTGTCCAATAAATCAGGGGCGAGATTTTTCGCGAGAAGGACTTTCTTCGAGATTTTGTATAAAATTATTTATTTAGTTTGTTTCGTTAGATGTCCACTCTAGCAATATGATTGGTCAGTATTTTCACCCAAGGCATTTCCTGCCGTACAAGCGGCCGATAATCATATGTTGAGGGTTGATCCGTGGACATTAAAGATATCGCAATAAAACTAATCAAACCAGAGACGGGGAATGTGAAAGTACTCGAGCTACGCCGAGAATTGCATCGTGTGGAAGGCGAATATGACAGGTTAGCACAGATGAATCGAACTCAGAAAGCCATGACAGACTTCTTCGTTATTAAGCCTAAGAACACAACAAACTGAATGAACATTGATTCAATGCGGAATAAAAGTCACACATATTGAAAGAGTGTACAAAACGCACCCTCACACTCAAAAGTAGCACTAAATATCAATACTGTCTATTAGGTACTGTACAGTACATAGTCAATTCTCGCGAAAACCGGTCGGCCAATCAGAAGGCCCCAACAGATGTCCACTTGTTAGATGTCCATATTTTAGGCTGTGACGGACTGGGACATGTAGCGAGGACTAACCGTTAATAATCTCCGCTTAGTCAGGCACTCACGATACAGTCTCACAGACTCCAGTCAGACTCACACGCTCGTCTCAAGTCTTAAGTCTCAAGTCTCAACTCACTCAAGTCTCAAGGCTCAAGTCTCTCAATTGAAGCACTTCACTGTGAGTCCAAAAGTCAAAATGTTTTACGTTAAACCGTTTATAATGAATTTTTTTTTAGTTTAACGGTTAACGTTCAACTTTTTAAATCATATGTACAACATCCAATTAGGTGCAGTTTTTAGGTCATATACTATGTCCTAAAATTTAGCCAGCATATATATATATATATATAAATATATATACTATGCCTTTTAGCAAGCAAATATATATATATGTGTCGACTTTCATTGGTTTATTTTAGTTATAGAGTCTAATTTTGCACATTAGCACCTATACTATAAGTGCTAAAGTGCAAAGATTTCGTAAGAGTTAAACCGTTTATAAATTGAAAAAATAGCGGGCAACGTTCAACCTTATATGTACACGACGTCAGCTGTGAGTCACCGAGTCACAGTGAGTGTGTTGACTGTTGTCTCTGCGAGTCTCTGTGACCATGTGACTGGTGCTGTAATTGGAAAAATAATGGTTATCAAACAGCCAATTGCTGTTTATCTCTTAAAAAAATAAATATAATTTGCCGTTGCTAAATAACACGGCCCTCTGGATTAGGGTCTCTGCTAAATTTACGGTCGTCGTAAGAAACCTGATTTCTGCTTGCGACCCTATTCCAGAGCCTAAGGGCCGTGTAAATAACATTTTTCTATTTTGGTTTTGTTCTAAAAATACCAAAAAAAAGACCCAAAAAATAAAATAAAATCAGAAGTATAATCTTTTATTTTGCAGAAACAAATCAAACAAATAGAAACGGAATTTCAACACATGTTTCTGATCACTCATCAGTCATCGCACCTCTTGTCCTGTTGGGACTTATGTAGGGAGTTGGGGTTCTCTTTCGGGAGTCAACTCAGAAGTTGAGAGAGTTTTAATATATATATATATATATATATATATAATTTAAAAACAACATAAAATAGGTATAATACTTGCAAAGTTGCAAGATGCACCTATTTCTAACGAAAGAAAACCACGTCTAGAATCGCTATCAGCGGCAGCGTACCACGTAAACCGACAGATCAAATTAGATTTTGATAGTATGTACCGGGCGGGTTCTACTGTCATGTTGACGGCTATTCTTGTGCCAAAATTCAAGGACATAATAGGACCATGACTTGACCTCATAAATACACCCAGTGATATATATTTAAGATGGACTAAATATATGGGAAAGTAGTCAAGGCACTCCTTTTGCCTCTTGCTTCTTGCTTCTCTTTTCTTGTTGCGTGTAGGTACGGACCGTGTGTGTTTTTGCAATATCAGTGTGTGTGTTGGTTCATGGTTGTCACTTGTGGCAGTTGGCAGTTTGGTACTGTTGTGTGTTGTTTGTGTTGGGACTTTGGGCTTGGAAGTTGGGCTTTAGGACTTGAGTTAAACCTCGTATCGTTATATGCAACGCAAATAAAAAATCCGTTAAACGCGAAAATCACACGTTTATATTGGTTTTGGTCACCAGGTGGTGCCGATTGCCGAAGGTCAGGGAATTGGAATATACATATGATAGATTTTTGTCCTGACTGCACATTCAGACATCAAATATCGAGACCAAAGGTTTTAGTATAGGTGCACTTTTCAGGCCGCAATATGCAGGTCAAAATATACCAAGTACGTGGCAAAGCTAAAAAAAATCCGTTAAACGTCTAAATTGGGAAAACAATTATAAATACAATATGTGAGTCTAAATTGCCCTAAACGTTGAGCCGTGAGGTTATAGTCTTGGAGTTGGAGCCGCCCGCCCGCCCCCAAATATTGTACATATTATGATTCGTCATTTTGTCTGGATATTGTCAATCCCTTACAATTTGTGAAAGACAAACAAATAAATAGTTTAAAAAAACCCCCTCTATACGGGGCTGGGTTCGGACTTCGGACTCTGAGAGTCTCAGCCTCTCAGGGAGTGTATTTCTGTCTTCTATTCAGATTTGAGTGATTTCAAAAGAGAGAATAGAAAGCCACCAGAAATAGAAATCTGGAGATATGCTGATTGCTAAAATCGGAAAATCCGAATTACTCATAGACTTCAGTGCAGTAGGAGTGTATGTAGGAGTGTATGTAGGCCTGTAGACTCTGTAGAGCCTATGTAGTAGAGTGTAGACGACTCTACTGACTGCTCTAGTCACTATTTATGTACTCTATTTAGCAGAGAGTAGAAGCTGACAGTGGAATATTGAGAGTAGAAGCTGACAGTGGAATATAATTTGTTTATAAATAAATATGTATATATAGTCTACCTCAATAACCCAATCGATCAGTAACGCTCAGCTCAGTAAATGACTGCGCTATTTCAAACACAATGCGTAGCCAAACGATAGAAACTAATGAGTTTAGGTGGTTGCCATACACCCTCACATCTCCGACGTCCAGTACACCATGTGCTTCACAATTGCGCACTAGAAAACAGTACGAGGAAAATGTACGCATGCATTTAATCAATAGCGAACCTACCAAATCGTTATGTCCAGTGTCTAGCGTGGACGAGGTCGAGGACAAGGATATAACTTGCACGAAAAAGCGAGAAATTAGAGTAGAGAAAATAGCCGAACAAGATTTTGGTGCATCACTACTATGTTTCGATGATGCTATTTTCATAGCTTATGTAGAGAAATACGCGACAGCTGACACATACACAGCGGCCTACAGAGCAGGCCTGAAATTCGGAGACGAAATTTGCAGTATTAATAGAGTAAATGTTTCAGACTTGTGTAGGAGTGTGCCTAATGGTGTGCGGGTGGCAAAATCTGAGCTTGACTACGCCATGATTCTAGTTTTGGAAGTTATTGATCAAAGTGCGTTCTCACAGCATGTAATTCCTATGTCGAAGCAAAGTCACAGAATGAAAGGAGGCGAGCTTCCCGAACAAATAGGCATATTATTCGCAGAAGATGGTGATATTCTGGATGTTGCAGAAGGGAGTGTGGGGGAGAAATCTGGGCTGACACGCGGTTCTCGTATAATACGGATCGGGGGCCAATTCACTGTTAACACAAGTCCACGTTCATACGAGAAGCTTTTCAGAAAATCTCAAAGAAGAAACCAACAGGTTACCGTCACTGCCGGGAATACCGTATTGACTTGTGGGCTAATATCCGAAGCTTTGCGCCACCTCGCCGAGCTGCATGCAAATTACGATCTTTTGAGTTACAACTTAAACGTTCATTTGGAGAATGATTTTAGCTCGGAACCAAAACCGGCCAGTTCGATGTCACGCTTCTGGAGTTATTTAGGTAAGGCCTTCAAACGCAGTTCAATATCCAAATAAGCGATCCCTAAATAAATTCAGCAGAATCCTACATACTTTTCCAATAAAGGTCTTTCTTTCATGTACGAAATTAAGCTATGCCTCGATCTGATTACCATATTTACGTTGTATGTTATATATTTATTCAACGCTATTTACGTTGGATGTTTTACAATTTGTCTACGCTAATCAGTTCATGTATTATGGCATACGATGCACAAGATAATCTGAGGACGGCCAAGAGGCCACCACCAGGAGTGCTTTAGTAGCTATTCAAAGACGGTCCAGGACTTCAGGAGCTATTTACTGTCCTGAAGCGAATCTACCGATCTTTATCATTTACCACGTATGTCTGATTATAGTGCATCGTGATAGTATAGCTTTAGATATTCGAATTTCAGTTCGCTATTTACAGGTGCTCACTCGTTCTTCCGCAAGCCCTAGATTATCCCTTTTCGCCGATTTTTACCCTCAGCCATCTCAAAAACTTTACCGTCTCAGCACCCAACAATAGATTTGTTAAAATCGTATGTCTCACAGATTTCATCTCACGTGTACCGGGTTCACAACTAGACTCGTCAACCTCTACAGTATTCAGATTGTCCATGCCTCCTCTGGCTCCGACGTGAACATCTGTTCTCATGCGCTCTGGCGCCTCGCTATCCAGCATAATAAGTAACGAATCGGGAGTTATCCGCGTGTTCTTCATTAACAGTTGTGACCAAGTGTGTACAAATCGTTCGCTGCCGCCTATGAACTGCAATACACCTAGTGTTACCATCGCAACGAGCGGAGTATCATTTTGCAGCAGCAAGGTATGTTGTTGCAAGTCCTTCGTCTGCACCTGCGCCTGTAATGGCAGGGCCGCCTTCCCATCTCTCGAGTTGGAGGTAGTGTCAAAATTCGTTCCCGAGACTTTTGTATTGTTTGGAAGCACCTTGGAATCACCCGTGTGAATTAAGTTATCACCCTGATACTCACTTGGGGCGTGGGATGTGCTTGACAATTTCTCCCCCAGTACGCACTTCTCCTGTTTACGCGTGACCTCTAACAGTTCCATATCATCACATATAACTCCATCCGCGGTCAGCGCCTCAAGTATCTCTGACAATTGCATAGCCAAAGCACTCAGACTGTGACTACGAACTTCTACGGCTGAACTATCAGACTTTTGCAGGGTGCTTTGGGGACTACATTGGTGTTGAAGAAGCACTATATGTGCGTCTATCAATCGTCCGAGAAACCTGTTGCCGGGAATATTGGTCCCGTGCCCACACACACAAGCACGCATACGTCCAGCGATACTTGCGCACGTACATGTACTCACATTCGTCTGCCCTGTTTCAATTTCAGAGAAGTGGAGGCTCTCGTGATTCCTCGCAGGATTCTGAAACAGCCGGTTGTGAGCCGCATGACCATCCACGGGTACGTCGTACATAGCTAGCCATTGAGCAGTGCACAACAGTGCGCTATACGGTGCAAGGATTGAGCGTAAAGACTTGCAACCATCACTCATATTGTGGTTAGTTGTCATGCTTCGATCTATCTTTTCACATACGGATTCATCTGTCTCTGACTTCCCCACAGATGTATCCGATTTGTTGACTGCAGTATCTACACTATCACCTCTCAGTAGCTTGGTCGTTGCAGTTCCCCCAGCCTCTACGGTTGAGCTTTTATCTGAAGCGCTGTTCGATGCCGGCTGAGATAGACGCGTGTCCGACTTATCACTGCCAGAACTCTTTAAGGCTGCATCCACCATGTCGATGGGTCCTGTGTGAGCGTCTGGATATAAACTGCGTACACCATCGTGCAGCGTGCACTCTACTACCTGCTGTGCGTCGCCTTTCGGGAGTTCCTCTTTGCTATCCGTTTCGCTCACAGCGGTGTGCACTTCTGCCTTGTGGGTATGCGCGGGAACATGAGAATGATCCCCAGACATCCCCTCAGTAGCACCAATTGCTTCGACGGAATGGTCGATGCATTGGTCACAGTACATGTATCTATCCATTAGAACACGTGCACGTTCCCACTCCCTCGCCTTGATTTCTCTCGCCAACGCGCTTGTGCATACGCACATGATCTTGTCTGAATCAATTGCATCCTCGACGATTTCAGTACGCTTCAGGATGTGACCAGCTTCTGATTGAAACCATGGATATAGAACTGTCAGTGCGTCGAGTAGCTTTGACAAATGCTTAGTCAGTTTGAGCTGCAATGCATAATTTAGCATACACTAATTGGTTTACATGGTGCTGATAAGGATATAGTTAAGGTACTTGATATATGTATGGTAGTTATACGCCGACTGAAGGAGGTGGACGGCTACTAATGCATCTGGGTTGAATTGGTGAAAGGCAAAAGTACGAAGAACATGGTGACCACAAGGTTAGCATTGACCGCGGTTGTTGGGTTTAAAATACACTTTGTAGCAGTCTCACTGACTCAATCTATTGGAAACATCGTCTCCACGGCTTCATTTGAGAGCAGTGGTGCTGGTTAGGTTTTAGCAACCACACAACACATGGACTTCGCCAGAGACACAATCTAGTGCACAGGAGTGCGGCTAACTTGTGATCCTACACATAAATTTTGTATTGGTATCACGGTAATTCAGTAACGTAACTAATACTACTAAAAATAAAACTAAACCCCAAACTTTACCAGGAGTGACCCTGCCTCGAAAACAGTATATGTAGAGATAGATAGTAGTGGTTGATGGCGAATGTTTATATAACTTTCAACGCGAAAGAGTTCGAACGACGATATCAAACCTGCACGAATGCAAGTGGTTTACATCTGTGTATATGTAGATGTCTCATGAAAACAAACCGATCTCGATAGTAGCTACTCAAGAGGAAACGATAGCATACAGGAAAAGATTTCCACGTGCACGCAATTATGGCCACACATAGGTATATAATATAGCATACTACTACAAACGCACCTATTTACACTCGCCAGTGAGCTGAAACAGAACAACATACAGCAGCCTCCGCACTAGTTCTATGATACATGTGTGTATTTTTCTATCAGAATATTATTTAGCATGATCGTACACCCTTTCACCGATAGTACCATGCCCATACTATCACTCACATGCGCAATCGCAACCAGTATGGAATCGCGCACACCCCTTGCGAACACATTGTGCAGACGATTCGCATATACTATACGCCGGCTACACACAAGCTACGTAGACGCTTAACTCATTCAGCTCACACGCTACACACACTCTCATTCTACGATACACTAGGCACGCTCTAGAGATACACTGCGCGTACACTACACACACTCTACGCGTGCACTGATCTCACACTAAGCACGTGCTACACATTCATGACATGCAGCTTACCCGGAAATTGGTCACACAACAACAGCGCGGCCCCGTATTGACCCGCACCAAACTGAGACAAGTACACGGCTGCTGTGCGTGTGTTCCCTAGCAGTATCTCGCACTTCGCCGCCTGGTTGGGATGGCATGGGATGATAGAATGAATCTATGGCTACACACACTACAAACTACATGTATACTCGACAGTCTAGAGGATCGCAGAACTTCGTTTGACTTGATTGTATAATGAAATTCCGAATAATGGCAGGTGCTCAGATGGCAAGTGGATCTCCGATACTGTTTTTAATTCAGCGGTCATTCCCGACATCGTATCAAGGAATAGTCCCAAGACCTTTTTCGGAATTATGAACTCGACATAAACAATATATTACCTGTGCGAATTGCTGTTTGGTGACACACTGAGCGGACCAATCTGTAAGCACCTCTTGCAGTTGGGGGTGTGTGGGCAGAAGCCGGAGCCGACCGAGAAGGAATGCGTCACGGTATAGACGGCACTTTTGGTACACCTGCAGTAGTGCATGGATGTACGACAGCAAATGAGCATACATGCTAATGAACACACACACACACACAGACACACACACACAGACACAGACACAGACACACACATATATATATATATGTAATATATATATATATATATATGAATATATATATATATATATATATATATTTACATACATACATACATACATATATATATATATATATATATATATACTTGTATATATACTTATATATTCATGCACACTACACACACACGACACACACACACACAACACACACACACACACACACACACATATATATATATATATATATATTCCTTCATATACATGTGATCAACGTGTCATATGGTTGATATGTGGGTAAATCAGGAGCGGCGCTAGAGTTATTTGATTAATTAAATGGTGCTGCATTATGCACTACTTTATGGCATAGTTCGGCCCTGGGCTGAATACAAACCCAATAATCCCGGAATGCAACGAATCTGTGCAGAGTTCATAGACCTAAGAAACAAAAATGTATTAAAGCCAGCAGGCATATCATTCAAAGCTAAAAACTTGCGAACGCGCTTCTGGTGTGTGAACTCAGTAACTATCTACCTATACTCTTTTGACAGCTATGAATGACTCACCTTGACAGCTTCCACCACCTCTCCAGCGAGCAGCAAGTATGAGACAGCCTTGTGCACATGCTTGTCCCTGACTAACTGCTGTGCGTATGCCTTACACACACGCACCCACGTGTCACGCCCGTACCCCATAGCCATGGAAACCTGGACACAAGTGTATGGGAGTGGAGATCAAGTCAGAACTATTGTTTTACCATCACATAACGAACCTGCACAAGGATGCGTTCACCTGGTTGCAGTTCCAGATCGAAGTGTTATAGTGTTTAAGACTATTTCTTTCAACATGAGGATAGGCAGTGTATATCGATATCCAACAAGGTATAATTATGTGTAGATTGATACCTGAAAGTCATCAAGGGGTGTCTCAAGAGTTCCCGTTCGTATCCCAACAAGCACGTCAGGTGCGGCATACACGCCCAAAAAGGCTCTCAAGTGCATCCCGGTCCTGTCCTTTTCCACACTCGAAGACTCAAAAAATCCCGAATTCAGGCTACCATCCCGATTCTCAAACATTAATTCGGATTGGGAAGCCAAATTCGTGGCACGATTACCTGTGTCTGTATTCGCATTCTCGTTCCCACCCGTATTTGGCTTTGTGTGTGTGTGTGTCTTCTGTAGGTCGTCTATCTCACTCTCTAAGCGCTGACGAATCGACGCGCGGTTCCCCACCATATATACCACATCACTGGCTCTCCGTGGTTGCGGTGTCGGTGCGGGTGTCTCCGTGTGTGAATCCATTCGTGTATTTGTATCAGCATGCAGCCTTGTGTTTGTCAGGGGCACTGTATCTGTTCCGTTTGACGGCCTTTGTGGCGGTGGTAGTGGTGTATGCAGTGGCGCGCGAGTGTGCTTTAAACTAGCTATTCGCTGCCCTCTCGTGAGCTGTGCGTTGGTGTACGTTCCCTCAGCAAATGTATTCAGAAACAAGCGTTTACAAAAATTATCTGACACGCTTCTATGCACTCCTTTTTGCACTCCTCTATCACTTTCAGCCGTAGATTGTGGTGTGTCACTAGACTGCACATCCAGGTGCCCATTATCAGTCTGTGCGCCTCGCTCGCACTTACACCCACACCCACTTCCTGACCTCGGCCCGGATGTGTGGTAGTTGGTGCCAGCCCTCGCTCGCATTTTCTTGTGCAGGTACGTGAAGATCAAGTCCTCACAAGTCTCCACCATCACGCCGTTGTGTCCATCCACCAGATTGCATGAACGCAAGAGGGTTTTCAGTTTGGGCCTTTTAGGCTGCGTATGTGGGCGCGTTTGAGCGTGTGTTGGCCCGTCCTGTACGTTACTGCCCGTACTCATTTGACTCATGCGTAGCATGTCACTCTCTGGAATACTCCCATCTCGGTCTTTATCCCTGCTCTCAACCCGGGTCTCGGCCGTACACTGTCGTTTAAGGCTCGCATTCTCAGCCGAGGGGCCATCTACAGGCTCCTTCCGCTTGCCCGTACTCTTGTTGAGACCACTGTCAATCGCCTCCGAAGAACCAGAGTGGGTGACACTGGCCAACTTGGTGCCGTTGGTGTGAGGGTGTGCCATCGCTCGGCTTGAGGCTATATCGGTCTCTAGGTTATTAACTGCAGACCAGATTTGCAATGCTTGGGTTACAAGGAGTTAACGTTTTTTGTTTCGGGTACATGTGGAATCGGTCATGAGAGATCTGATCACGGCATGATGTATTTATGCAATTACCATTTTAAGGGATTTCCCCCGACCATCACGGGTGTGCCTGTATAATTGAGCGAAATGCACATCTTAACACAATGTACCTGACCGGGCGCCCCTACAACCGTGAGTTAAATCGACACTCAGTCTACGCTATGATATAGACAGGTATACACAGCTCAACACGCTATCATTGATGTCAATACTTCAGCTCCTACACTTCTTAAATATACCTCGGCGCACCATAAAGGTTAACTTGAGGGACATTTATATAAGTAATATCGAATGGGCAGTGTGGTGTATTCATCAACAATACAACCAGTACACATGTGCACTTTACAACACTATGAGCTCTGGTGCGTAAATATCTTGACTGAGCTCAGACCTGACAGCTCTACAAACTCACACTATGCCAAGATGCTGTAATTGTACCACCACCCCTGCATGTCCACAACGGGGCTGGACTTAGGATCGAATACTCGACACGACATACCTTCACCAGGGCCCGACTTCTTCAACTTAAGTGCAGGACCGGTACCTTTTTTTTGCGCTTTGGATGGGGGCCGCTTATGCGCTTGCGCACTGACATGCCATACTCTTACGGTCTGGTCTGCGGAACCGCTGATGCAAACATCGGCGTTTGTCAGGCTGAAGGCAACTGAATACACACGGCTTAAATGCCCTCTATAGTTGCAGAGGGCCGTCTCTGTGAGCACGTCCCATATCTACAGGGACAATAAGAAAGATTCGGGCATATTTAAGGGATAATACGGGTTTCGGGCTTATGTAAGGGATAATAAGGAAGATTCCGGCTTATATATCAAAGTACTGAATGAACCGAGCAATCCGAGGGTTTGACAGCATTGGGGTAGTGTTTTTTGGGGCACACGTAGCTGGTTGCATAAGCATTTGTATGCATAAAGTATGTATCCAGGGTACACATGTCGACGTAACTGACTGGTATGACTAATCAAACACACTATAAAATATACCTCTATCGGGAGAGGTGATGTAATAATCTATATATTTTGTTGTTAGTAATGAGCCGTCAGACGTAAACCATCATTGAAATATAGTCATGCATACAGGTCTACTTATCTGGTATTCGCACAGATAGATATATATATATATGCACATTTGTTCAAGTATATACCTGTACGGTCTGGTCGAACGAAGCGGATGCGAGACGACCAGTTACATGTGGGCTCCACGCTATGCACACCACACGGTGCGTATGGCCCTTGAGCACTAAAACACCTTCATCAGTCGCATCCTACAAGTAATTGATAGAACGACAGTTAGGGGGAATGATCGTGAACCTCTCTAGTCGTACTCACGCCAGGTGAACCAGGTGATGTCCCTTAACACTTGTAGATTGCAGGGTGCCTTGGCAACTAGTTGGTTGTAATGTTTGTAATGTTTGTTCCATTGATACCGGTGAATACTGTTATGCACGCCAGGATGTGATGTAGAAATACGAGATGGCAACACAAGCTATATAGTTTATAGACACCTGCATATACATTCGATCTTCAAATGGAAAACGCGAGGTGGCTCGGAGGGTCAATGGACAAGGCGTCTATGTTTTGCGCAGTTTTCCATTATACCGTAGAATAGTTTTCTGAATTCGAATGGTATTAATAGCGTTCTGGCTCATAAAGTGCTGCTGTGTAGAAGTCTAACCCTCATTGACAGATCTCGCACACAAGATTCATATATTGTTAAACGAATCGTGTAAGGTCAAGTTTCTGCGTATGGCGCAAATCAATGAAGATCCTACTTGTTGCCCAGAGAGACTATAGCATCGGGCAATTGTCACAACCCGACAAGATTCAGAAATAGCATATATGTTGCACTCAAAGAAGATATTTTTTTCACACTCTATCTAATTATGCAAGATATATGTATGCACGTATTGATTTGCAAGTATATGTCGCTATCCAACTGCATGAATAGTTTCTGCAATACATACATACATTCATACACATATATATATGTATATATATACTTATATATATATACGTATACATATAATATACG